AGTTACATAAAACACCCCCAAAACACTCATGTGAGAGAGAACTGCTCGATAAACTGATACATCGTCAAGGAAATGAGAACCGTCAAAATAAGCTTTGGTGTCACTAACTGGGGACATCCTATGTAGCTGGAAGCCTGGGCTGCTTTTGTTTGAGTTAAAAGAATAAATTATTTCCATCCAAGTATACCTAGTGAGCGCTTCCATATGTCACATGAAGCCAAGTCGTTAGTGATCTGAACAGTAAGATGACAGTTAATGTTATATTTGACCCATAGCTTCCCTACCCAGATTTCATATGTTAAGGAAAGATGGGAAAGCTAATAGATTCATTAAGTCCTCATGACTGTCAGGCAGAGTCCCTGGATTGGTACAAACGGTTAATGCACTTGATGGCTATCCAAAAGGTTGGAGGTTTGTCTACCCAGAGGGGCCTGGAGGAAAGTGTGCTGATCTACTTCTGAAAATCCACTATGGACACACAATGGAGCACCGCTCCACTCTGTCACCCACGGGGTCGCCGTGTGTCAGAGGAGACAGCTGGTTTGCACCTGCCATGCACTGCGGTGTGTGTTGCTCAAACATCATTGCATTTAACCCTTGCAGCAGCTCTGTGAACTAGACATTGGCATCTCCATATTTCAGAGAAGGTGGTCGAGCTTAATTAATTTAGGCATCTTGTCCAGGGTCCCCAACATCTAATCTGGCTTTGAGCCAGTGTATTTTTCTCTTCAAAGCTCATGATTTTAACTACTTCTCTGTATTTAGATGTTATTTTAGACAGCAGACTTTATCTGTTTTCTAAATGAGAGTTAATATTTGGAAACATCTTCCTAGTATTGTCATCTCTTTCCTTGCAGGGAACCAAAGTCCTGCAGACATTCATGTGGTACCTGAATCCACGGCAAGTCTTCGACCTTTCTCAGGAAGGGCCCAAAGATGCGTAAGTCCGGAAACCTTGGTGGTGCACGTCTGCACTGGGCGAGTGAGCAGGACCTTTGGCTTTGAGGTCGAGCTCTGTAGCTCGTTTACTCAGTGGAGTACTTTCTGCTCGTCTCTCATAGGCTTTCTCACCTGGGGTCTCCTCCCTTTACCACTTCATCTCCTGGTTCCCTCTACTCTTCATTGGGTTACTTCTCAGGGAACTCAATGAATCTTCTAGTGGGTGGTTATGCGTCAGCCTATGAATATAACATTGTTTGT